GACATTGTCTGGTGAAACATTTTGCTTTCTTGAAAAACTTTTGCTATCAATATTTAAATTTTGTACTTTGAGTAACTTATTGTTTTTTTTGCAAGCTGCTGATTGGCCCATAACCAACTTAATTGGAATGTATTGTCATTTTCCAGTATTCTGATTGGTCAATTTTGTCTACGTGGCCCCGGTTACAGTAGTCGTACTGTAAACCCCTAAGGGAGACCAACGCAGGTGTGGCTCAAGTTTAAACTGACCCCTAAAGAAGTCGACCATACTAAACTAGACATCTAAATAAGAGTTGAAGTGTGTTGTGTCATGCCAGGGATGTCGTGTTCTTTTTGAAATGTTAGATTTCTGTGTGGTCAGTGTCACAGCATTTTTTGGTAAATTTCTTTACACACCACCCTGAATAATACCTGAATGGGCAAATATAGCAATTTTTGGTCAAAACACCCTAAGTGACGCCAAAATTGGCAATTTTAAGCACCAAGCGAGACGACAAGCATCCCCGTCATATGGGGGTCCACCTTACTCGCCTGGTTCAGCTTATGGCTTGTTTCTTAATATAAAATTTTTGTTGTGTTCATGAAAAAGTAACAAGAGCTGACTGGCTCACCTCATACAAACAGGCCCTCCTCACTCCTGGTCACTCTGCCTGGATTGAGGAGTGGGGTGGTTATGATGGATTCTAACAGGAGCCCATGACCCAGAGTGAGCAACTCCCATACAAGGCCTATCAGTGTAGGCCTTTTTACGGACCAGTTTTTTTAGCACATTTAAGGGGACTTTTTCCTGCAAAAATAGAATCTCCACCATGTCTATGAGTGCATTTGAAGTACAAGATATCAAAAAGGAAAACTAAACATTAATATCATTTTTAGGTCTATAGGTTTTGCTGACTGGTTTGTGGAATTTAAAAGATATTCAAAACTCGCATCAAACTGTTCTAAAAATAAACTGGTCCATGAAAACGCTGTGACACAAGCACATGGAAGTTGCGCACTCCAGTTTATGGGCTCCTGATTCAAACTGACTTGCACATTACAGCATGCGAACAACCAACCAAGCCTGTTCGTAGGCTGATTAAAGGTGCCCTACAAGTACAGACCTCCAGGAAGACTGAAGGGCCCATTAACAGTCCGGTGGAATATCAGCATGGGAAACTCTACAATTACCATCCAGACATATGTAAGTTACTAGTTTCAAACCAGTAACCATTTTACACACTATTCCCTTTGTTTCTCAAAAGAATTTTAAGTTACTACAGTACATTTTTAACATTTTATGCATCTTCTGGGTTGTTTTCCTTCCACTCTGCTACATCCTTTTGAAACTTTTCACGTCCTTTGCGGCTTTCCTCAAAGTACACCTCCTTCTCTACTGAGGACAATTCGCGCCATTTGCGCCCCATTATTTTCGCTCGTTCAGCTACAGGAAGGTTTGCCACACCCTCCGCTTCGGCGTTCTTTTGGGAGAAAAGAATAAAAGCTGAAAGCGGCCTTTTAGGGTACCCTAACAGCATTTTTTTTTCTTTCTCGATTTTGTGTACCAATGCGCCTCGCTTTTTCTCGATGAAAGCGCGCTCCTCCGCGGACATTCCATGCCCGAAGTTCATCACTTGCTCCTTGTACTGCTGCATTAGTATCTCCCGTTTCTCTTGCCATTGTTCTTTCTCCGAATCTGAAAGACCATTCCACTCATCGGATATAGCAGACATAATTTCTGGGGTTTTAACACCAGGATTATTGGATTCAACTTCGGAATACTTCTCCTTCAAAAACAAACCAAACACGCCCGGGGGTTTCTTGGGGATCTTTGCCAATGGCGCGTTGTATTCTTTCATCCTTGAAGCATAAGCATTCTTGTACGGAGCCTTTTCGTCTTCAGACATTTTCCTCCACTTATCGGACAAAAGTGACATGATTTCTTTAGGTTTCTTGTCCGGGTATTCGCTCTGAGTGAGAGAGCGGTTCGCGTTCACAAACAACATGAACGAATTTGGAGGGTGCTTCGGAATCTCTACTTTAGCAGGTTTTGTCTTAAGAATGGCAAATCCATGGCTTACCAACGTGCGAGGTAAGGAAACCTGTCGAATTGACAAAGGTTGCCGTACAAAGGTGTAACAAAGACGAAAAAGGCTCATATTATTGAACACGAACACTGCACATTCATTCGAAATGCGCCTCCACGTTCAACCGCCAACACAAAGCCTTCCCGTTGTGCCTTGCGAGAAAGTCTCAGTCACACAACCTTCTCTAGTTGCGTGACGAGAAACACCAAAGTTCCATACCACTCGAGCCTTTCTGGCCTGGATAGGAATTTAGGGAGAAAGTAAAAGGCTCCCTCTCACTTTCGCACTTTTCTGTCCCTCCGCTTTTAAAAATTACATAACACGCGGGTTCGATACCACGAATATATAATGCCTTTTAAGCGTGACAGAACAGTACAGCCAGTACTCAATTTTTCACAAGACGACTGTTTGTCACGTGTGCTTTTTCCGGATCATATCCAAGTAAATAACTAGGAGGGGTGGGGATTCTTTAGATTCATAATGAAACGAAAAATCCTGAAAATCGGCTTTGGATTCAACAATCAGTATTTGCAGTTTTCCAAAGGAAGGCTGAAAACAAAGCTAAGAAAGTACAAAAGCTATGAGCCCATGAAATCCAGGGTTTCCAGAATTAAACAAAAAAAAATTTTAAACTTAAGTGCGAAAACTGAGATTTCCTTGTTACCCAAAAGGGAGAAGTCACAAGAGGTCGGAAAATATGTGTGCGGTAGGAAAGACAAAAGAGATGAACCAATAAAATCATATTGGGGTGTAAGGTCAATTGAAGGGCAATATTTCTAGTCAAGATGCCACCTTGAAAATTTCAAAGTTACGGATGGCAAACTGCAACTTCAAAACATTTATTTTCTTTTTCCTATGATTAAAAAAAAAGATTGGTTCGTTTTACTTCTTAGAATTTACCTTTTTTTTTTACTTCTGGATGTTCAAAGGTAATTTTGTGAATGATTTTAGCAGATGTTAGCCAGGATTAGTCTACAATCAACTTAGAAACAATACAATACCATCGAAAACTATTTACAACTACATCTGAAGGTTTGGGAAAAAGCAAATTCATGCTATTATCCAGAGGTTTGAGAAACTGGGGGTAACATTACAGTGTCTGAATGGCTCAAGAAATTGGGTTCAAGCACACTAAGCCCTTAACTCATATGATTGTGTCCTTTTTCAGTAGAGTGTACTCTTGCTTTAATTCCAAATTAACTAAGTTTGTCATGCTCCTAGAGGGGGGACCCACACATAAAAGTGACAGGGATGCTTGTCAAAAAATAAAAATAACAGTGTGAGTACTATAACTGGGGCCACTAAGACAAAGTTGACCAACCGGATTATAGGAAAATAACTATACATATTCCGAGAAAGTTAGTTGTCAATCAAAATTACCATGAAACGAAATAAACAACATGTATTGATATTCACCAATCAACCTACAGACGTGACATTTTGAACCAGCCGAATAAAGCCAGCGTTTCTTGAGGTTCCTTAGAGTGACCGACGGAGGCAAAAAGCGTAAACGTTAGTTATAATTTTGACTTGAGGTCACATGTTGTTTCAAAGCGAGGCAATGGTAACAAAGAAATTACTGGTAGATGACATTTAATGACAGCTTGTGTCAAACAAATAATGTCTCCTGTGTGTTATAAGTAAAGTTTCGAATATAAAGACATTGTCTGGTGAAACATTTTGCTTTCTTGAAAAACTTTTGCTATCAATATTTAAATTTTGTACTTTGAGTAACTTATTGTTTTTTTTGCAAGCTGCTGATTGGCCCATAACCAACTTAATTGGAATGTATTGTCATTTTCCAGTATTCTGATTGGTCAATTTTGTCTACGTGGCCCCGGTTACAGTAGTCGTACTGTAAACCCCTAAGGGAGACCAACGCAGGTGTGGCTCAAGTTTAAACTGACCCCTAAAGAAGTCGACCATACTAAACTAGACATCTAAATAAGAGTTGAAGTGTGTTGTGTCATGCCAGGGATGTCGTGTTCTTTTTGAAATGTTAGATTTCTGTGTGGTCAGTGTCACAGCATTTTTTGGTAAATTTCTTTACACACCACCCTGAATAATACCTGAATGGGCAAATATAGCAATTTTTGGTCAAAACACCCTAAGTGACGCCAAAATTGGCAATTTTAAGCACCAAGCGAGACGACAAGCATCCCCGTCATATGGGGGTCCACCTTACTCGCCTGGTTCAGCTTATGGCTTGTTTCTTAATATAAAATTTTTGTTGTGTTCATGAAAAAGTAACAAGAGCTGACTGGCTCACCTCATACAAACAGGCCCTCCTCACTCCTGGTCACTCTGCCTGGATTGAGGAGTGGGGTGGTTATGATGGATTCTAACAGGAGCCCATGACCCAGAGTGAGCAACTCCCATACAAGGCCTATCAGTGTAGGCCTTTTTACGGACCAGTTTTTTTAGCACATTTAAGGGGACTTTTTCCTGCAAAAATAGAATCTCCACCATGTCTATGAGTGCATTTGAAGTACAAGATATCAAAAAGGAAAACTAAACATTAATATCATTTTTAGGTCTATAGGTTTTGCTGACTGGTTTGTGGAATTTAAAAGATATTCAAAACTCGCATCAAACTGTTCTAAAAATAAACTGGTCCATGAAAACGCTGTGACACAAGCACATGGAAGTTGCGCACTCCAGTTTATGGGCTCCTGATTCAAACTGACTTGCACATTACAGCATGCGAACAACCAACCAAGCCTGTTCGTAGGCTGATTAAAGGTGCCCTACAAGTACAGACCTCCAGGAAGACTGAAGGGCCCATTAACAGTCCGGTGGAATATCAGCATGGGAAACTCTACAATTACCATCCAGACATATGTAAGTTACTAGTTTCAAACCAGTAACCATTTTACACACTATTCCCTTTGTTTCTCAAAAGAATTTTAAGTTACTACAGTACATTTTTAACATTTTATGCATCTTCTGGGTTGTTTTCCTTCCACTCTGCTACATCCTTTTGAAACTTTTCACGTCCTTTGCGGCTTTCCTCAAAGTACACCTCCTTCTCTACTGAGGACAATTCGCGCCATTTGCGCCCCATTATTTTCGCTCGTTCAGCTACAGGAAGGTTTGCCACACCCTCCGCTTCGGCGTTCTTTTGGGAGAAAAGAATAAAAGCTGAAAGCGGCCTTTTAGGGTACCCTAACAGCATTTTTTTTTCTTTCTCGATTTTGTGTACCAATGCGCCTCGCTTTTTCTCGATGAAAGCGCGCTCCTCCGCGGACATTCCATGCCCGAAGTTCATCACTTGCTCCTTGTACTGCTGCATTAGTATCTCCCGTTTCTCTTGCCATTGTTCTTTCTCCGAATCTGAAAGACCATTCCACTCATCGGATATAGCAGACATAATTTCTGGGGTTTTAACACCAGGATTATTGGATTCAACTTCGGAATACTTCTCCTTCAAAAACAAACCAAACACGCCCGGGGGTTTCTTGGGGATCTTTGCCAATGGCGCGTTGTATTCTTTCATCCTTGAAGCATAAGCATTCTTGTACGGAGCCTTTTCGTCTTCAGACATTTTCCTCCACTTATCGGACAAAAGTGACATGATTTCTTTAGGTTTCTTGTCCGGGTATTCGCTCTGAGTGAGAGAGCGGTTCGCGTTCACAAACAACATGAACGAATTTGGAGGGTGCTTCGGAATCTCTACTTTAGCAGGTTTTGTCTTAAGAATGGCAAATCCATGGCTTACCAACGTGCGAGGTAAGGAAACCTGTCGAATTGACAAAGGTTGCCGTACAAAGGTGTAACAAAGACGAAAAAGGCTCATATTATTGAACACGAACACTGCACATTCATTCGAAATGCGCCTCCACGTTCAACCGCCAACACAAAGCCTTCCCGTTGTGCCTTGCGAGAAAGTCTCAGTCACACAACCTTCTCTAGTTGCGTGACGAGAAACACCAAAGTTCCATACCACTCGAGCCTTTCTGGCCTGGATAGGAATTTAGGGAGAAAGTAAAAGGCTCCCTCTCACTTTCGCACTTTTCTGTCCCTCCGCTTTTAAAAATTACATAACACGCGGGTTCGATACCACGAATATATAATGCCTTTTAAGCGTGACAGAACAGTACAGCCAGTACTCAATTTTTCACAAGACGACTGTTTGTCACGTGTGCTTTTTCCGGATCATATCCAAGTAAATAACTAGGAGGGGTGGGGATTCTTTAGATTCATAATGAAACGAAAAATCCTGAAAATCGGCTTTGGATTCAACAATCAGTATTTGCAGTTTTCCAAAGGAAGGCTGAAAACAAAGCTAAGAAAGTACAAAAGCTATGAGCCCATGAAATCCAGGGTTTCCAGAATTAAACAAAAAAAAATTTTAAACTTAAGTGCGAAAACTGAGATTTCCTTGTTACCCAAAAGGGAGAAGTCACAAGAGGTCGGAAAATATGTGTGCGGTAGGAAAGACAAAAGAGATGAACCAATAAAATCATATTGGGGTGTAAGGTCAATTGAAGGGCAATATTTCTAGTCAAGATGCCACCTTGAAAATTTCAAAGTTACGGATGGCAAACTGCAACTTCAAAACATTTATTTTCTTTTTCCTATGATTAAAAAAAAAGATTGGTTCGTTTTACTTCTTAGAATTTACCTTTTTTTTTTACTTCTGGATGTTCAAAGGTAATTTTGTGAATGATTTTAGCAGATGTTAGCCAGGATTAGTCTACAATCAACTTAGAAACAATACAATACCATCGAAAACTATTTACAACTACATCTGAAGGACTTTTCCCCTGTCGTCTTAAATCATTAAATTACAGTATACTGTACTATCACTCACAGAATAACAATTAGGTAGGCCTCATAGGAGGCAATATTTCCTTTAACATTATATACAAGAAGAGACAACCAAAGAAAAAGAACACCAGTACAAAAATAAAAACAAATTGTATAAAAAGTACTTTTTTTTTTCTTTTTACGAGTTTGCGCCGACTGACAGAATAGGGACTTTTAAGACCCAACGACGCGACGGCGACAAGAACGTCGCTGAAAAAGTGAATTTGCGTTATTTCAGTCTTTATAGCGATTATTCCTACCCACTTACTTTGTCCATTGTAGGCGAAGCCTCCTGAAGCTGAATTTCAAGGGACCAAATTCAAGCTCAGAAAGAGAAATACAATTTCGTCGTTGGTTGTTTACGTCCTCCACAAAACACGAAATTAGGCATTTTAACGTCGTAGTCGGGCAAAAACGGGAAAGGAATGTACAAAAAAGTGTGATGCACGTGCGAAGTTGTTGTTCTGCTAATTAAACCAATTGTTTTTTGACGTTCTCGTTGTCTTCCGCGTCGTTGGATCTTAAAGTCCCAAATTGAAGCCTTCACTCAGCCTTAGAAACAAGTTAGTTCCCGAGGTACTTTATCTCCCAACCAAGAGGTAGTAACCAGGGTGGAAAATGAAAGATCCTCAATTGAAGAAGAAACACCTTAGTCAATAATTATAGCTGTAGACATTCTTTGTTTTTGGAGATACTTACCACTACATGACAATCAAAGTAGTTATGTTTCAGAGCTTAAGTTTTAGAGTTCTTGTTTGTTTGTGAGTGATAATCACAAGTTGCATGCTCAACGCTGAAAATATAGCCTGTAACATCTTTTTTCCTTGAATATCGGTGGCTACTTTGTCCTGGCTTAAGTTCACTTCCCTTAAATCTGTCCCTGTCTAACTCTCCATCAAGCATAGCCTGCGTCAAAAAAGTTAGACCAGAGCAAAAAGAAGGAATGAAGGGGAAGGGGGTGGGGGAGGGGAGAAAGGAAAGTTTCGTCTTTTTCCCTTCCCATCCCCCTTCCTCCATTTTTGGCTCTCACTCAAACTTTCGCACTATAACTCAATGGAAAATGCTTGCTATGCAAGCTACATCAGGCACATGCCTCTTTGAAGCAGAAGGGAAGATGAGATCCTTCTTAAGGATATCCTTCCTTTGAGAATAAAGTTTACTAAATAAGGCATAATTATGACTGAAAAACACTTTTGCAAAGGGCTGTATGGAGAAGAACACTTTTTTTATCCATTTCAGTTAATGCTGCATTCACTCATCAACATCCATTCCTTCAGTGGTTTCATCAATCTCATCTTCAGACTCTTGAGACCAATCAATTCCATCAATGTGTTCAAAATCCACAAGGTCTTGAACAGCAAGAACTAAACACAAAACAAAATTTAATTATGGTTGCAGAGGTGATAAAATGCTAGCCTATAGCGCAGGCATATTTATTTTGGAGACAGAATACCAATCATTTCCTGTGCAAGCCCCTTATCTTTGATTTTGAAGACAGAGGAAGTATGATGATCATAGTGATAATGATGATGATGATGAGAGTAAAAAGTGTAATCAGTAGGGTTGGGCTGTCTCCCTAGCCCTGCCCTCCTACCTGCCTCCTGTAACTTATTCCCCCGTGTACCACAACCCAAGGGAATTCTAGTTCTTGCAAACCCCAACCCCCCAGAAAATGGCTGCACAGCAGGCTAACAATGAATTAAGGCAGAGTATTTTATTCTACAATGGTACACATGTTATATGTACTTAAACCACTCATCAAAGAAAGGGAGAGGTCTGTGAGTGAAACATAAGAGTTCTTAGGAAACAAAGACGATTGATGGCCTTTCGGGTCCTACAGTAATGAAGGGGTGCCTGGAATTATATCCCCAAGTGACTTTCAGTTAACTGCAAAATATTACCTCAACTTGCCTTGTATGCAATGGTGAACCAAAGGGGGATTTTGACATTAGACAAGGAGTCAGCAATTATGCTATTCCGTGTACCCAATCATTTATACTCTACAGCAAGATCAGTTCCACCCTTACATCCAAAATCACTTACCCTCCGCTTCTGAAATAAGTCCTGTAATTCGCTGATACAGCCTGGTCACACTGCTGATAACATTCACATACTGATGTTCCACTTCAATGCGATGCTCCACAAAAAGACGATCATTTAAACACAAGGTTGCCAGTAGGAACACACTCTGCCGAAGCAACACCAGACTTTGCCTGGAACAATATTAAACAACAGATGAGTGAATGGCATCGTTTTGGAAGATCCTAAAGTATGTTGTTAATATTATCATTAACAGTATTATTATTATTATTATNAAGGGGTGCCTGGAATTATATCCCCAAGTGACTTTCAGTTAACTGCAAAATATTACCTCAACTTGCCTTGTATGCAATGGTGAACCAAAGGGGGATTTTGACATTAGACAAGGAGTCAGCAATTATGCTATTCCGTGTACCCAATCATTTATACTCTACAGCAAGATCAGTTCCACCCTTACATCCAAAATCACTTACCCTCCGCTTCTGAAATAAGTCCTGTAATTCGCTGATACAGCCTGGTCACACTGCTGATAACATTCACATACTGATGTTCCACTTCAATGCGATGCTCCACAAAAAGACGATCATTTAGACACAAGGTTGCCAGTAGGAACACACTCTGCCGAAGCAACACCAGACTTTGCCTGGAACAATATTAAACAACAGATGAGTGAATGGCATCGTTTTGGAAGATCCTAAAGTATGTTGTTAATATTATCATTAACAGTATTATTATTATTATTATTACTGTTATTTTAATATATTACTAATACTGCTTTCCTTTATCTTGCAGTTTCCCATAGTACATTAATTTATGTTACAAATTATTATACTATTGAAGAACAAAATAGAATTATAAAGAGAATGTTGTTGTTGTTACCTCATAAACATTTCAATCTCTACAGAAACTCACTCACCGGTTCTGTAAATCCTTTAACAGTGTGTCGTATGAAACTTGAACCATGGAACTGACCACTTTATCCAACATCAACACGAGACACTTTATCAGCTACAAAGTACAAGGAAAGAATTAACTTTCCATGGCATACCTTTACCTTTTCAAACTGGCTAAAATAACGTGACTGCAGTTTAAAGAAAAGAAATATCGACTGGATACCCCTCCTAAAAAATAATGGATCCTTTCTAGCCATGTATTAGTACAGTATGTTATAGATCAAAATTAAATTGAAGTTAAATAACTAAACCTTGGGTAATTCTCTTTTTCCCTTGTCTACTAGCCCAAAACATTTGGGTTTAGAGAATCAACCTAGGATCCAAAATTTTTTAAGCTGAATTTAATTCTGACCTACGACATAACATAGATCCCACTACCAGGGTAAAGGTAGCCTGCCCTTTTTAAAAGAAGTGTTTTTGAAACTTTTTTTCCCTTATATTCTCCTCTATGTTAATGACAAGGAAAAACTAAAAGACAAAGGCAAGGCCCTAAAGCTTAATTTCACAGCCCACGGAGATGAATACCCGAACCGGGGCAAGGGCTGATCTCTTAAAAACTCCTGTCTGGTTGTTTGGGACAAATAGATTTTCTTGGTGGACGAGTAACTTTTTATGCCCACTTGCCAAACAGGACAGGGAAGGGTTCAGCTATGTTATTCTATATCATTAACTAAGACTGACAATGCTCATCCAAAGGGCAGGCTGAAATTTAAGATTTACCATTAGGTAGATTCTCACCTCAATATTGCAGTGGCATTCACTCTCCGGATGAAAAAACAAAATTGATGCATCATTGTTTGAAAGGAGGTTATTTACAAAGCTAACAATCTGAGGAATGAAATAAATGCAACAGAAAAATTTGAACCACTACCGTAGGGGCTTCATAAACAAAACAGAGCTGGATTAAATGTACCAAGTATTGTTTTACAAAATGATATCATGATTGTTGTGTCTCATTTTATTTATTTGGTACCTGTAAATGAACTTGTTGATAATCATGGACAGAAACATCTTCTGGTCTAAACAGCAAGCCCTGGTAGATCTTCAGTAAAATGCATTCACCTGTTGACAATGAAACCTCTTACGTTAGCATGCAATTAAAAACAAGGACTAAAGATATAAAGGGGTAAAGGAACAGCATATCTTGAACATAAGCATAAACATAGCATGGTCCTCACTAGTGATACAAGCATAAGCATAAGTTAGAGCATAAGAAGCTTATGCACTAGTGTGGATCTTTGGCCTTTACATAACCATATGCATGGACACAATAATTTTTTTTTTTATATCAAAACCTTGCGTTCTTCTTATGTTTAGCTTATGCTTATGCTTATGCTTATGTGACAACCATGCCAACAAGTACATAACCTTCTTGTAATGCTCATATTTATGTTTAAATTGTATGCTTGCATCATGCTTACTCTTCTGATATGCTTGTGCTTGTGCTAGCATAGCTAGTGATGAGCAAGCTTTTGAACACTTTTGGCAAAGTGCTAGCCTGCGTAACAGATGTTATTGTTTCCTTTTTTTGGGTGAGCAAAAGCAAGCACAAAGCAAGTGAGGAACACCAGACACACGCAATGGGGGAAGGTGCAGAAAAAATAACACCTGTCTACACCACTGTTTGTTCCATTGTTCCATTCCGCCCCTAACAAACCCCTTACTGATGAATCAATCATGACATTTGAATGATTTATAATAATTTCAGGACTGTCACTAAGAGGTGAGGGCTAGGGATTTTCCCCGGCTACTTTCAAAGGAAAACGGAAGAAAAATAGAAAGAAAAGAAATCCCTAGCTGTTTGATTCCCTGCCTACTTTTTGTATTTATTTTGCTGGCAACTAGAAATCTTAGTGACAACCCTGAATTTACTTTTCACATACAGTCAAATTGCCGGCAGTGCCGATAATTTAAATCAAGATTATTATAATATTATAAAGCATTTACCTGATTGAGAACACAGCCTTTTCACTATGCCTTGGTGTCGTATTAGAGGGGTAAGGACTGATGTGACCAATGACAGTGATGTTAAGCACCAGTCCCTGGACAGACACTGAGAAAGCAGACTCTCAGACAGTAACGGCAACATTCTAATTGGAGGAAAATTAAAAGATAACATGAGGATAGAAAAATTTCCTATATACGCTATGCCATGTAACAACAACAATAATAATAATAATAATAATAATAATAATAAATATAAATATAATGCTGGTCAAATCCCAGATCCTAAAAATACCTGTCCATACCCTGGCCATTACTGCAATCATGAGTCTAGTAGACCAAAAATTTTACTAGAATCACAAAAGTAAATTATCCCGTAACATGCAGTAATAATTACTAACAAACAAACCTTGTACAATACTTTACTTCACAATTTCTTGACAGAGATATTAAAACTTGCAGTGTAGCATAAGTAACAACCATAGATTCTTTCTAGAAAAAATCAAAACAAGAAGTCACTCTTACAAAAACATCTCTTTCTGAGAAGATTACCCAAGAATTCATGACCCGAGAATCAGAATTTTTATTGAAGGAGGGGAAGGGTACATACTGTGCTTCATTATGAAAATCATGTAACTGCCATGTCCAATAAGCTCAAAGAATAATATTGTTATATTAATTTGTCACATTAATTTACAATGAGCTGTGTTCTTATGCGAACAAATTTAAATTATCTTCAGCCTGGCCTTCTTTATCATGCTGCATTGAAATTTAACTTTCTTCATATAATCATGTAATGTTTAATGAAATGGTGAGCAGCAAATATTCTATAATATTGAAACAACAGAATAACTACCTGTCCAGGTTATTTGAAGGTAGAGCTGAATGAAATTGTTTTCAGGCACAACAGAAGACCATGACTAGGTAAGATTAGAGCGTATATTGGAAAATTACTTCATACCCATTGCTCAAACACATAAATAGCCTGTGCCACAGATGGAACTAAACTTCTGGTTGAGTCCTTCTGTGAAACAGGGCTGAAATTCTTGTTCTGGGTCCCCACCTGTGTACCAGGATTTGAGTACGTGCCATCATTGGACTGTTAAAAATTTCATTGTCGATTTGCCAATCAGTTTGAAGGGAAACTCAAAATGCATTTCCAGTAATTGAATGAGACTGTTTATTGGGGGCCCAGAAGGAGGATATCAGCGCTGCTTCGTAGACGTTACTAACCCAAAAATACAACCAAAGGTGATCATCACTAGGCGGAGGCTTAGTTACTGAACCAAGCAACAAACAAAAATATGTTTATGGTAGTTACAACTCACTGGTTGAGGTACCAACAGTTTGAAAAGGTAGCCCAGCAGTTCTGTACGTTCAACAACATTTTCTCCTCTGCTTGTATTGACATCTAAAAGCAAACGTCAAAAGCCTTTATCCCAGCTTTAATTATTGTCAAACTCATCACCAATAGATGAGCTTGGGCGTTGGTGCCTACAAAGTTGGTGGAGCCGGGCTATGCTCTAGCATGAGGAGGAGGTATCCATGGAAACCCTGCGAGGGGCCCCACCAGGCACTGTCATACTGAACAATTCAGTGGAATACTTACCGACCAATACTTACCTGGCCCATACCTCAAGAGGGAGGGAGGGATGGGAAAAAACCAAAGCACAAAACGGCACGCAAACAGCAAGCTATTGCAACAACACTTTGCGAAGAACTGCACGCAAGCAACTGCGTATATAAGTAACGAGGTGCCCCCGCTAGAGGCATCAGGCCACCCCTAGTATAGCTGGGGAAACTGCTGACCAGCATTACTTCGAGGTTAACTTTGCCTAAATTATATTTAGCCACATTAAATTAATTTTCCTAGGGGAGGGGGATGAAAAAAAACTCCTTCACACAATTAAAATGGTTGCTCATTTATCAATGGCAAGTTTTATTCAACATCAAGGCTAGCCAATCATAGTGCACAAAAGGACGTTTCGTTTGATAATTTAGATGGAGAGTAAACCCTTTCCAGTAAGTCAAGGGGGAAACAACTAGACTGGAGACAGTAAACAAGCAGATTCCCTTGTCTCACAGTACATGTATTTGAATTTTTTTAATTGCTGAATTTGCTCTCTTCCACACAAGTCTTCACCTGTTTTGTAGACACTAACACCTGGATAAGTCACAATCCAGTAGACAGGTATTAGGGAAACAGTATCCACTAGATAAATCCAGCATTATCAAACTTTTGAACAACCTGCTGTTTAATTCCTGACTCTATCAGCCATACCTTTCTCTGTAGTTACTTCCATTTGCCTGTTGGGATCCTTGGAAATAACAAGATATTATAAGACAGTATAGATAAATG